AACATATCCTAGCTCGGCCTTGATAATCAGCTTAGGATGAAGTGTGTGATTTGCATTGGAATGCGTTTAAGAAACAAACCTCTGCGGGGGAAAACTTTCTAACTACATGATTCTCACATTAGACATTTCTGGCATATGGTAGCGCGTGCCTCGACGCGACAGAATGAGGCTAAGTAATAGAATGTTCGAAGCGGAATCACTCACCCCGATATCAGCTGGGTTAACAGCAGTGAAGTGATAACTTCGTTTTGATACCCAAATTACTTCTAAGATAAATTGAGCGATTTCACTTTTTGTTTTTTTCACCCTGTTTGAATAGAAAAACAAAAGGGGTTTAGGTTTTAACCAGCCCAGTGACTTCTCGAAAGCCTTTCATCATTAAACAGAGTAGAAAAAGAAGAGGAGAGCAAAGAAAAACATCTTAAGCGACAAACCTTATATGAATCTCAATGGGAAGGTTACGAACGATCACACTTAGTCTTCAACTGATGAAAAATCAAATGATTAGAAACTGTGTCATTCTTAAGGCATTTTGTTAAAGTTCAGTGATGAAATAGATATTTATATAGTAGTGTATGTGTTTCCTTTAAAGCTACTTAAATGTTGGGATTAAAATTGGAAAAAAAAAGCTAATTAGTAATTACATACTACACAGTAATCTTTTCTCCACGAGATTGGTATTTAAAGTTATATGTAGTTTTTTTTTTGTCTTAAAACTTAAAAGCACGTTATTGTAGCAAAGAGTCACGAACCACGAATACACACTGGGGGTATGTTAACTGTTAGGTCACACTCAACCCTCGACATTGGAATAAATAGTTTTTATTATACTTAAGGTGTCTGAATTAACTTATCAATCATTCTCTTACTTATTGAAATATTTCTTATGTGTTTTTCCCCCATCGGTGAGACAGCGGTAAGTCTACAGACTTCCAACACTAAAATCTGGGGTTCGATTCTCCACAGTGGACACGGCAGATAGTCTATTGTGGCTTTGCTAAAATAATAAGAAACAAACAAAAAGTGGCATGTTATAAATGTAAACAGTGTTTCAAAGAAGTGACTTGTTCTTGTACAGTTTCATCAGTTAGAGATGTTTGTAGTGTCGCCACTCGAAATATTTTTCAGGTTAAAAATCAGTAAACTGTATCCAGTATTACTGCACTATTCTCACCGTTCCTTAGGTGTTATTTTAGACAGTAGTTTAGGAGCCATATCCAGAGTATTAATTATTTCTACACTAGTACCTTTTAACTATTTTGCCTGGTAATTTCTCCCTTTCTCCCGACGTTCCAGCATAGCTAACATGAATTCCCAGGTTTGTTTGATTCCACGTACTAAACGTTTTGTTGTCGACTGCAAGAAAAAGAGTTTAATGCAGCACACACAAAAAAGCTTATTTTATTATTAATTTCTCTAACTACTGCTAGAGATCGTTTTGACATATCTAGCAAGTACCCACTCTTAACTGGCTATCGGTAAACGTTTTATTACAACTGGCAGGTTTTTTCTTCTTTTTCGTCCCTCGGTATGTCAGTAGTAGGTAGGTTTACGTACTTAGAACACTGACATTTGGAGTTTCGATTCCCCCATGGTAGAAAAAGCGCAGATAGCAACCTTACTTTTCTGGATGTTTTATCCGAGAAAAAGATGGCTCTACTAACAATATGTAAACATTTCGTTGGACTTCGAGCAGAGAAGAGTGCTCATCCTTCAGCATTTCAAGTTATTCCAATCCTGTATCGTTAAGTATTATCGAACAAAGCTTAGTAACAGCGCCATCTTTTGGTAGTATACTAAGTTATTGTGGAAATTTATTTTAACACTTCATTATACGTATTCTTTTATATATATCGGAAATAATTCAGATTTATCTCATACATGAACAAATGAACCTTTTGCGATATATCTAACGACCTTTATGTCACTATCCCTAAATCCCAGTTGCAGATCTTTTAAATAGTATTATAATTTTTCACAGTTCGCCTGCAAATTTACTTAATTTATTCATTTATCTATTTTTAATTTTAATATGCTGTAGTAAAATAAAGCGCTACGAAATTATGACATCTTAATTTTCTTCGTTTTACAGATGTCTCGGAATATCATCATCTCAACGAAGCTCCATCTCGAACAGTATTTTTTTTTTTTACACACATCACAAATACTTCCAAATATTTTCATTATAATGTTTAATTTACTGGAATGTTGGGATCTTTACGAATATCATTCTCCAATTAGACGTTCTGCAAACATTTTCAGTAATATTCCGCCACCTGTCGGATCAGCGATAAATCTGTGGATTTTATAACGCTAAAAATTGGATTTTAATACCCTCGGTATTTATTTATTTTTCTGAATTTCACGCAAAGCTACTATCTGCGGTAGCCGACCCTAATTTTGAACTGATAGACTAGATAAAAGATAGCTAGTCAACACCACCAACACCTGCTGTTGGAGTACGTTAAGCAAGATTGACCGTCACATCATAGCGCCCACACGACTGAAAGGGCGAGTGTGTTCGGTGATGGGATTCGAACCCGCGACCCTCAGATTGCGAGTCCTAACCACCATGCCGTGCAAGGCTACCCATGATTGGAAGAACACAGATAGCTCCTTGTGTAACTTTACGTTTAAACAAACAAAAGACACACAAAAAAAGTGATATACTACGTCATCATTACGTTATACATGAAAACGATGCACCATCTTCGGTAGACCATGAAGGGCACGCGATGTTCGATCATGTACTCGAATAAATGTACACGTACAATTAGCATATTGTACAGTGGCGCCATTCATAAAATATAATTCCAGAAATTCACGGAAAGAGTTCCATATGGCACCCCCACCCAAAAATTGTAGAATTGCCTGAATAAAAAAGATTCTGAAAAGGGTTTATTTTAAGGGGCGTATTAGAAAAATTGGGACATGGCTTTGACAAGCATTTGTGTGAATACATGTGGAGAACATTAT